ATTCCTAAACCATCCCAAATCCCAAACCCCTGAAACCCCAAACCTTAATTCCTAAACCATCCCAAATCCCAAATCCCTGAAACCCCAAACCTGAATCCCTAAACCCTAAACCCCAAAACCCTGAACCCTAGATCCCTATACCGGAAACCCCAAACCTTAATCCCTAAAGCAGGCCTCAACGATCTGCTCGACCTGTTGATGCACGATGCGGGGCTGCTTGATGATCTTGGGCACGTGCACAACCTCGGGATCTCGCTCCCCTAAGGTTTGGGTCTTTAGAATTTAGGGTTTCAGGGTTTAGGGTTTAGGGTTTAGGGTTTCAGGGTTTAGGGTTTAGGGTTTTAGGGTTTAGGGTTTAGGGCTTGAGGGCTCTAGGGTTTCCAGTCTTCGGGCTTTGGGAGTTGAGGGGCTTTACGAGTCTTTCGGCCTTGAGACATTCCGTAAGGTTTGTGGCCTAAGGTTTCGGTCTACAAGGCACCTCTCCGACTTATCCGCGTAGCCTCGTATCTGCTAGGGCCCTGAGCTCATTCCCCAGCTTCTCTACGACCCTACTTCCTACCCCCCAAACCCAACTACTTGGAGGATCATGGGACTTAGTAACTAGGGTTATAATAATAAGGTAACTATAATTATAACCCCAATTAATAATGAGGTAACTATAATTATAACCCCAATTAATAATAAGGTAACTATAATTATAACCCCAATTAGGGTGCTTATAACCTTACTTACTAAGTCCCATGATCCTCCAAGTAGTACACGACCAAAACCCTACAAGCACACCCAGGCTAGGAAGACCGTACAGCTCCCCAAAACCGCCTGCAGCAAATCCGGCAGCCCCACCTCCTCCTGGGTCATGGGGACCGGCACCTCGACCACTTGCTCCACCTGCTGCTGCTGAACGCGCGTCTGCGTCACAACCTTCGGGATGTGCACGACCTGCAGGGCTTTAGGGCCTGAATGGGCCGAACATACGCCACGAATCGAGGGTTTGGGCCCACAGCATTCCGGATGCATTTCGGATTTAGGGCTTGGGGTTTAGAATGTAGGGTATAGGGTGAAGGGTTCACCCTGGACCCTAAATCCCAAATCCTAAACCCCAAACCCGGACCGGACCTCCTCCTGCGTCATGGGCACCGGAACCTCAACAATCTGCTCCACGTGCTGGTGCATCTGGCGCTTCTGGACCACCACCTGCATGGGATTAGATTAGCGTTTTAAGGTGTTTGAAAGGCTTCATTTGGGTTTCGGCTTTTTTAAAGGGTGCAAGGGCTAGGTTTAGGGGCAGTGTTCAGAACTTTGGTGCTCCCTGCACCCAAAACCCGAAGCCTTTTCAGCTGCGCAGGGTTAGGCACAGGTTCGTCAGCAGAGCCCCGTTACCGGAACGAATCACCATAATGAAAATGTTACTGCCGATAGAACTGGAGGAGGTGGCGTCAGCCAACATGACAGACATGTATTAAAGCACCAGCTTGATGTAGATAATCCCGAGATAGCTGAATCCTAAACCACCGAGCCCAGAAGCCCTCAACCCTATACCCACTATACCCTAGCCCTAAACCACCATGCGGGTCACAAGCAAGAAACACACAACCGACACCACCGTGAAGACTGCAAGACCAGCTTGTGCGGCGAAGGATTGCAAGCTTCTTTGGAACGTTTTTGTGTTTTCTGTCTTGCCTAAAACAAGCATCTAAAGCCGCAAGCCCCTAAAAAACTCTCAAGGGTCGGGGTGGTGGCGAAGTCCATGCCTTGGGGACGTGAACCTGCTGCTCCTGCGGACAGAAAGCTGCGCCAGTTTGGCTTCTGTTAAGGGCCTGTACTGCGAGGTAGCACGGAGGGTTTAGGGTTAGGGGTTTTGGGCTTTGGGGTTGAGGGTTGTTTGCAAGGAAGCAAATCGGTTGGGGCTGTGTCGAAACAGGTTTTTTGGGCAGTTTTGGGTTTTAGGGCTGGGGGAGAAGCTGCGACGACGCTGAGAATCTCCCACATCGCCACCCCTCGGTGGAGAACCCAGTTATACTCTGCCGTGCTTGAACAGGACCCTTACCATGACCAACTCCCAATGCAAGACTACATGGGTTTTTGTCAAAAATATGGTCCCTTTTTGGGTCCTTATTATAATACGGCACCTAATGTTTAGGGTACCCCAAAAGGGACCATAATTTTGACAACTACCCACATATTGCATCACCGATATTCACCTGGCGAACAAATCCGTATATGCCTTGAATCGAATCCTGTCAGTTTCGGTTCGCGTTGTTGGATGCCGCCGAAGTTTGGGAAGCCAAGCAACACTAAGTACTGAAACTTTAGAAATTGAACAGGGTTTCGGTTCGGAGCTTCGTGCTGGGCAGCTTAAAGTTTCAAGGATGGTAGCTCAGAAGTTCACTTCAATGCAATATGATGGACCGAAACCCCAAACCCTAAATAAACTCTAAACCCTAAACCTAAACCCTAACATAGTGGACTTCATAACTAGAGCTTGAACAGATCTTTCGTGAAAACGGGCTGAGGCTTCAGGGTGGGAGTCTGGGGTTCAGTTGGGTTTCGGGTTTAGGGTTTAGGGTTTAGGAGTTTGGGTGTTGGGTTTAGGGTTTAGGGTCTGGTAAAGTCATGGATGCTCGCTGGCATGTGCACACCCAGGCCGCTCCCACCTGTGGGTAGCAAACAGCCCACCCCAAGACCACCCTGAATTCAAGCATTTTGGGGTTTAGTTCTGAAGTCTTTTAGGCATCCCAGCAGGGATTTTGGCATCGCCGATGATGGTCGGTATCTTCAACGGGCCCAAAAGCCGCACTGCATGTCGGCGTTCTGCGAGTCTGGCCCTTTCTGGGTTGAGCTTGCTGGGTTGGGCTTTCTGGGAGGCTGTGCTGGCGGATTCTCATGCGGGCTTTCTGTAAGGCCGTCTTGGCGGGTGCAGTAAAAAGCTGTGGGCGTTCTGTGAGGCTGCGCTGTCGGAGTTGTGAGGAAACCAGCAGCAATGCATGCGGGTTTTCTGTGAGTCTGTCCCTTTCTTGCTTGGGTTTTCTGTGAGGTTGTGCTGGCGGGTTCCCATGTGGCTTTCTGTAAGTCTATCTTGGCGAGTGCCGGAAGCAGCTGTGGGCTTTCTGTTGGGCTGCGCGGGTGGGCATCATCGAAATGGGGGGAACCCCGAGATCGGCCGGCTCCAACTCGTGACGGGTTGACCCCTCGTCAAGAAAGCAGGTGCTCCGCTAAAGGCCCAACCCTTGTCAAGAAGGCGTGAAGCCCAACTCCTGTCAAGAAGGGGGCCGGCTCCAACTCGTGAAGGGTCGGGGGGCCCACGCTTGAATTTCCAGATTTTCGGCCACTGTTGCCAGCCGCTCCGACTCGTGAAGGGTTGGGGGGCCAACCCTTGTCCAGAAAAGGCCGGCTTCAACTGGTGAAAGGCTCAGGGGTCCCAACCTCAAGAAGGGAGCCGGCTCCAAGTCGTGAGTGGTGCAACCCTTCACGAAAGGACGTGCTGACAAAAAACCTTCGGGTTTAGGGTCTCTACCTGTACCACTCCGTGGGAGGTGCCCGAGGGGTCGGCACGAATGGTGCCAGTTGCCTAGTTTCACCTAGGCTCCGCGTACGCGTTGTCTCTTCGGGCTCCGCGGTGGCGGATGTCGAGCCCTCAACGGAGACTTTGGGAGTTTGGGCTTAGGGTGTTTAGGGTTTAGGGTTTAGGAGTTTGGGTTTAGGAGTTTTGGCTCGCAGGGGGTTTGGGCTTGAGGTTGAACATGTAGAGGGAAGGACCCCAAACCCTAAACCCCAAGAAGCCTCGCTTAAAGCCCTGAACCCTAAAATCCCCAAAACCGTAAAACATGAAGCCCTAAAGCTGAACCATGATCATTCCCGAAAATCCGAAACCCTGAAAGTCTACAACCATAAAAGCTAATGCAGCGGCCTCAGTCAACTAGAATAAGGTTTTGGGGTATATTATACTGTAGTTACAATAAAGGAACCCCAAAATAGTACAGGTGATTCTTAAGGCCCCGATAGTACCACCGCATCAGCTCCTGCATCATCGGCACGGGAACCTCGACGGTTTGCTCGACGTGAACATGGTGGTGACCTCTGAATCTTCTTGTTTCAAAACGCAATGGGTTTAGGGTTTAGGGGTTTAGGGTTTAGGGTTTCGGGTTTAGGGTTTTCCGAATGTTCTTCTTGAAGGGTTGGGAATGAGGTTGTGGAGTTTGGGAGTCAGGGTTGCAGGGCTTAGATCCCGGGGCGAGGGGCTTGGTAGGTTCTTCATTACCTCAAGGTTCATGGTGATAAATATGGTAACTATACTTACAACTAGGTATATCCCCAGTTGAAATACTTATAACTGTACTTAGTAAGTCCCATGAACCTCCAAGTAAGTTCATTAAGCCCCGTCAAGCAGCCCTGTACGAACCCCTTTAACGGGACCCTATTCTAATTGTCAAGACCCCTAATTTTAAATTTAAACCTACTGTGCATGTGCAGGCTCGGTCTAGGGCTCGGGATTTGGGGCTCAGTGTTGCGGACCCTAAACCCTAAACCTAAAACCCTAGACCTTAAACCCTAAACCCTAAACCCACTGCAGACAAGATATTCAAGGCGTAGGGTTCAGGCCTTGGGCTTGTGGCTTACTTGGAGGATCATGGGACGTAGGAAGTATAGGTAACCTAAAGGGCTCCTTAATGGGGATCTATAAGGGGTTCTCTTGGGTTTCTATGAGGGTGATATAGGGGTACGTGGAGGATCATGGGGCTTAGTAAGAATTGGTGTAAGTACCTTACCTGGGGTTATAAGTAGTTGTAAGTATGGCTACCTTATTAATACCCCTAGTCACTAAGTCCCATGATCCTGTAAGTAGGGATCGCGCAATCCGCCGCGTTGGCAAACTCGGGCTACGTTGGCTACCGGGCGTCGCTGGGCTGGAGGTACATTTGAACTAATGTATGGGCCTTAATGATTCGAATATGGTTTGGGGTTCCTTTAGTTTTTGTATAATTATAATTAGTACGGAACTCTACGGAATGATTTTGGCATTGCTATATCACGCTTAAACTCCAAAAAAATGCTTTGGAGAATCCCAGAACTCGACTTCGGGTACAGCACTTGCAACTGCCAGCGCAAGGCAACTATCCTCGAAATTCGCACAACCCCAATCACCAAGTGGCACAAGTAAGCCCCAAACCCTAAACCCTGTGACGACAAAGTCTGCGATTCGTGAGGCCGAAGCGGGCTTGGGTCTGCGTCACTGGAACGTGCACAACCTCCTCAACCAGCTGAGGAACAGGGACATCCACCTCAGCTAAGTAAGGAATTTGCACATGCTGATTCTCTCCTGTCTGCACATGAGGATTGTTCCGAGTCATTGTCAAAACTGCGAAACCAGGAATCGCAATAAAGATCCTAGACATTCAGAATCAAATGTAGGACACGCAATACTGTGAGGCACCCCATTTATCATGTATCCACTCGGAGCGCTCATCGTAGTGTGACGCTGTTCTCTGCTACAAGCTACCATTTGCGGGTTCCCGGTGAAACTAGAATGCTAGCTCCTGTACAGCGCTGCTGTACACCACCACCTCCGGCACAACCCCAGGTCACGCCGACCCATCGCCAAGAACGGCAGCAAAAGCGCTGTTACTGCCTTGGATCTGCTGGACTTTCTGCAGCTGATCCTGCACTGTACGACTGTCACCACCAAAGCGAGCATCACCCCAAGTCACGACCGATCCATCGCCAAGAACCGTAGCGAAAGCAAAGCCAGTGGCTTGGATCTGCTGCACATTCTTCAGCTGATCCTGCACAGCACTACTGCTACCACCATGGCTTGGAGAACCCCAGGCTACCACGGATCCATCGAGTAGAAGGGCAGCGAAAGCGCCGTTACTGCCTTGGATCTGCTGGACATTCTGCAGCTGATCCTGCACTGCAAGACTGTCACCACCATGGCGAGCATCACCCCAAGTCATGACCGATCCATCGCCACGAATGGCAGCAAACGCGAAGTATGCGGCTTGCACCTGCTGCACGTCCGTCAGCTGACCCTGCACAACACGACTGTCACCACCATACCCAGCACAACCCCAGGTCATGACCGATCTATCGCCAAGAATGGCAGCAAAAGCAAAGCCAGTGGCTTGGATCTGCTGCACAGTCTTCAGCTGATCCTGCACAGCACTGCTGCTACCACCATGGAAAGGAGAACCCCAGGCAACGACCGATCCATCGCCAAGAATGGCAGCAAAAGCACTGTTACTGCCTTGGATCTGCTGGACATTCTGCAGCTGATCCTGCACTGTACGACTGCCACCACCAAAGCGAGCATCACCCCAAGTCACGACCGATCCATCGCCAAGAACCGCAGCGAAAGCAAAGCCAGTGGCTTGGATCTGCTGCACAGTCTTCAGCTGATCTTGCACAGCACGACTGCTACCACCATGGTTTGGAGAACCCCAGGCGACGACCGATCCATCGAATAGAAGGGCAGCAAAAGCGCCGTTACTGCCTTGGATCTGCTGGACATTCTGCAGCTGATCCTGCACTGCACAACTGTCACCACCATTCGCAGGATCACCCCAGGTAACGACGGATCCATCACGGAGAATGGCAGCAAAAGCGTAGTGAGTAGCTTGGATCTGCTGCACAGTCTTCAGCTGATCCTGCACCGCGCTACTGTCGCCGCCGTAGTCAGCATCGCCCCAGGTCACGACTGAACCGTCGCCAAGGATGGCCGCAAATGCACGTCCAGAGCCTTGAACCTTAACCTGCTGTATTGCAAGGTTAGAGAGTCGCCGCACTGAAGCCCAGCGTCCTTGATCGTTGAGCGTGCATCCACTTCATTTCCGGATGAGTCCACCAGCCGCCCTTTTCCAACTTCAAGTGCGATCTGCGCCCGAAGTTTTAATGCCTCCACCTCTTCACCCTGGTGTGCTTTCAAAGTAATCGCCTTGCCACTGAGAAGTGCAACTTCCACTGTAACCGACATATTGCGCACCGGTTCTACGACCTGACCAGTTTTTAACTTCGCACATCTTGGTTTCAACTTTCCAAATGAGGCTGTTCATAGCCTTTAGCAACGCCTCCACAAATCAAGCACGCCTGGACTTAATATAGGGGCCTTAATAATTAGAATAGGGTTTCGGGGCCCATTATAGTATAATTGTTATAAGGAGCCCCCAAAAAATAGTCCAGGTTTTTATTGAGGCCCCTATATTCGGCCTAGAGAGGTGCAACGAGCTGGGACGAACGCCGGAGGGTTTAGGGTGTGCGGTTAATTAGCCCTAAACCCTCAAACCTCAACCTGAGGCTCTGCAAACCGTAATTCTGATGCCCTCAACAACTGAACCCCAAACCCTACTTAAAGGATCATGGAAATTCGGAACTGGGGTTATAGATGATGCATTTGTATTTACAATTACTTCTAACCCCCTGATTTTTGTACTTCTAACCTCACTGGCTAAGTCCTATGATGCTCAAAGCAAGCCCTAAACCTGTAGCTTCTAGTTGCGGTGCTTGAGCAACAAATAGTTTGGGTCTTCGTCTACGTCGTAGTGCCAACCCTCAAGCCACTTCAGTGAAGGATGCAGCTTAAGAAGCGTGCCAGTGATATCCCAAAACATTAGATTAGGAGTATCTCTAGACCGTATGTTTGGCTGAACTCCATATCCCATACCCACAGCCCCAAAACCCCAAAACCTTGATGAACGCTCTAGACAAATCTAGTGATACCTGAAAGAACGTTCCACTTCACTAGTTAAGAAAGCTATGGTTATCTATAAGTGCAGCGCGGAAAACCAGTGTAACAAGTCCATTCTGTGAGGGTCGCTCCGGCGGCATAAAGACACTTCCAGAAGCCACGTAAGCAATAAAAACTAAACCCTGAACCCTAAACCCTAAACCCGAACACTAGATTAGGGGCAGCCAAGGCTGTAGGACTTTGGAGGGTTTTGATTTATGTTTAGGGCTTCAGGGTTTTCGGGCTTTTTGGCTTTGGGTTTCTTGGTAGGGTTTTCAAGCTTCAGGGCTTTTAAGGTTCATAGGATTGAGGGTAGCGGGCTTTGGAGTGTTAGAGTTTCGGATGTTGGGCCTTTGGTCTTAGGGCCTACGGTCTGCAGGATTCGAGGTTTAGAGCACCAAATATTTCAACAGCCGCAGCCCTAAACCCATATTTCCTGAACCCTAAAACCCTAGCCCAACAGCCCAGAAACCCCTGCACCCAAAGCCTGTACATGACCCATGCACTACTCGTGGCAACCCGTATAAAAACCCTAAACCTCATATGGTGACCCCAAACCCAAAACCCTAAACCCAAAACCCTAAACCCAAAACCCAAAACCCTAAACCCTATGAACCCTATGAACCCTAAACCCAAAACCCTAAACCCAAAACCCAAAACCCTATGAACCCTAAACCCTATGAACCCTAAACCCTAAACCCTATGAACCCTAAATCCTAAACCCTAAACCCTATGAACCCTAAACCCTAAACCCTATGAACCCTATGAACCCTAAACCCTAAACCCTAAACCCTAAACCCTAAACCCTATGAACCCTAAACCCTAAACCCTAAAACCCTATGAACCCTAAACCCTAAACCCTAAAACCCTGTGAATTCTATGAACCCTAAAGCCCAAGAAGGCCGCCAGGCTACGACCTGCTCCACTGTGCGGGGCTTGACTTTTGGCTGGTGGATGATCTCGGGCACCTGAGGTTGCTTTGAGGCTAGGGAACAGGTTTTTTCGGGCTTGGGGGGATTATACGGATTAAGGGCTTGCAGGGTTTTCAGTTTAGGGTTTAAGGTTTCGGGGTAAGCAAGAAAGGGGCACAGCTTCTGCGTTCTTGCAGCTGGGGTTTACCCTAAACCCTAAACCCTAATGTAGAAGCCTGAATAATCACCAAGATCATACCTTAGGGTTCCTTAATAGTTTTGTACACCTCTCACCACTAAAGCCCCCTTAGAGTACCTGTAGAGCTATCTAGCATCATACACCCCAACCCCCCAAACCCCCACTCTGCTCATCAAGGGCCCCTGAGCCGGCGGCGTGCACGATCTGCTCAACGATCTGCTCCACTGGCTGTTGGACAACCTGGGGAACCTCGGGTTTGAAAGCGCCGAGTCCCGGGAGCGATTGCTCGAAGGGTTTCGGGGTTTGGGGATTAGGGTTTGGGCTGTAGGATTCAGGAGTTAAGGGTTAGTGTTTCGGGTTTAGGGGGAAGGGCTGCTGTCAGTGCCACCACGATAGGAAGTATGATTATGATACGATTCTTATTAGCATCGGTCTCCTGCTGTTTCGCTTCCAAGCAGGTTTCAGCGAGGGCTGAGCTAGGGGTTCGGGTTGGCGCACCAGGGATCCCAGGTTTGGGGTTTCGGGGTTTCGGGGGTTTAGGGTTTCGGGTTTAGGGGTTGGGGGTTCAGAGTTTAGGGGTTTAGGGCTTAGGGGTTTAAGGGTTTAGGGTTTAGGGGTTTAGGGGTTTAGGGTTTAGGAGTTTAGAGGTTTAGCGGTCCGGAGCGTAGGGTAAAACTAGAGTCCATGTGCCTCGACCACCTTCTGCACGATTTGCACCTGCCCAAGTCAATCCGGACTGCCTACATACGGCGGGTCATGAGCTCTCCGCCCTGCTCTTGCTACAAGATGCACCCATCAGCATTGCTGTTCCAGTGTTGGTCCTGCCCTTTTGCCTCCCACCACTACTGCTGCTGCTGCTTCTACTACCACTTCTACTACTACTCCTCCTCCGCCTCAACAACTACAACTACTTCAATGACTCGGGCGGCGCACCCACACCGTTTGCCCCAGAGCATGTGGGCAGGGCGCACGACTACTCGGGCGTTTGTGATATATATATATATATATATATATATATTTATTTATTTATTTATTTATTTATTTATATTTATATAATTATATATATATGTATATATATATACATACAGACATACATGCATACATGCATACATGCATACATGCATACATGCATACATGCATACATGCATACATGCATACATACATACATACATACATACATACATACATACACATACATGCATGCATGCATG